GCTAAAGGAATTCATTAACACCACACCAGAATTACAGGAAATGTTAGAGGGGCTTCTTTAAGAAGAAAAACATGTATCAAAACAGGAATAAGGAATGGTAATAACTACATTCCTATCAACAACTACCTCAAATGGAAAAGAATTAAGTGCTCCAAACAAAAGAAAGAGTGGCTGAATGGATAATAAAACAAGACCTCTATATATGCTGCGTATAAGAGACTCACTTCAGATTAAAAGACGCACACAGACTAAAAAGTAAGGGGATGGAAAAAGATGTTGCCTCAATGGACCTAGAGGGTGTTGCGCTGAATGAAATAAGTCAGATAGAGAAAGACAAATATCACATAATTTCACATCATGTGGAATCTAAAGAACAAAATCAACAACAACAACAAAACAGAAGTAACCGTAAATACAGATAATATTTTGAGGGCTACTAGAAGGAAGGGGGGTTGGAAGCAAAAGCAAAAAAGGGCAAAGGTATTAAGACATACAAATGGATAGTTCGAAATAGACATGGAGATATAAAGTGTAGCATAAGGAAAATAGTTAACAATGTTGTAATAAATATGTAAGGGGGAATAGGGACACTAGATTTAGTGGGCTGACCACTTTGTGAGTTATGTAGATTTCTAATCACTATACTATACAATTGAAACTAATATATTATTGTATGCCAACTACAATTGAAAAAAACTCACTAAATTGTACGATGTAAATACAAGCAACTAATTGTCTATTTCAATAAAGCAGAGAAAAAAATCAAAAGAAAAAAATAAATGCAACTGAAAGAAAGATTAATGATTTGTAAAAAACCTCTGTAGAAAATACCTAAACTAAAGCACAAAGATAGAAAAATGAGGCATAATATAGAAAAGTTAAAAAAGATGTCTGAAGCATGGCAAATGGGTAAAACACATATATTTATTAGAAAGACAGGCATAAAAGAATGTGACAGAAGAAATATATGAAGATATACTAGTTGAGACTTATTTAAAACTGATGAAAGACTTCCACCCAGAGAGCCAGAGGTTCTGCAAACCTCAGGCACATAAATATAAAGAAAAACACATTTTTGACACATCAAAGAGACAAAAAAGAAAGGACAATTGCTTTCAAAGGAGAAACAACAGGTTGTCAAACTATTCCACAGAAATTACAGAAGGCCTAAAACAATGGAATAACATCTTTAAAGTGCTGAAAGAATATTACTACCAACCTAAAAAAAAATTACTGCCAACCTAAAAAAAGTGCTACCAACCTAAAAATCTAAATAAAAAAATAAAATATGACAAAATAAAGACATTTCTAGGTGAAAACTGCAATAATTCAACATCAACAGACCTTGACCAGAAGGTACACTAAAGGGTGCTTTTTCAGGCAGAAGACAAATGATTCTAGAGGGAAACATAGAAATGCAGAAAGAAAAAGCAGCACAACAGAAGCGTTAATATGTGGGTAAATATAAATAAATACTGACTTTAAAAAAACATAATATTTAAAGACTTTAAAATATATATAAACTTAAAATGTATGACAATAATTAAAACAAAATAAGAGGTAGCAAAATGAAGGTAAAATGTTCTATCTAGGTCAGCATTATTGGGAAAGTGGTAAAAGTAATCTTTTTTATTGGACTGCAAAAAGTAAAGGATATATATTATACTTTTGGTGGCAACCATTAAAAGAATAGAAAACACTGAATAACTTAAATAGTAATGAAGATGAAATAAAATAATATGAAATATTTCATAAATTCAAAAAAGGTAAAGAAAAAATGTTAAAACAAGTGGGCCAATAGAAAATATTAAATAATACAGTTTATATACACACAAATATATTAGTAATCACATTACATATAAATGGATTAATACTGCAGTTAAATGCAAAATTTGTCAGACTGGATTTTAAAAACTTACACTTGTTTAGGATGTATTTTTCATTCCTGATTATAGTTTGTCAAATTTTATGTAAACTATCAGAGTCTGAGATACACTTATAGGTAGATTTTAATTAACAATAATAACTTATGTGCTAGAAGCTATTTAAAATATTTTACATTGATTCATTTAATATTCACAATAATACTTTGAGATATATTCTATTATGATCTCCATTTCACTATAAAGAGTTCAAATAACTTATACAAGGTCAGTGGCAGCGCAAAAGAATATACTCAAGCACTCTGATACCGGAGATCATGCTCATAGTCACTGTGCTATACCATCTCAATATCCTCAGGGGAGAATAAAGAGTATTTACATTGAGGGCTTTAAAAAAAATTCTCACAACTTATAATTTTAATAATTCTTTTTACTCTAAATGTCGAGTTGCTCAGAATAATTAACTTCTACATTCTAAACAAAATACAACAGGAATATTCTAAAACCTAACATTCATGATAAATTTAAAATATACTTATAGAAGCACTTAAACCATGGTTAAAATGGTAATTTTAGTGTTATGTTTTTTACCACATTAAAATTTTTTAAACTGGATTTTAAAAATACTTATATCAGACTGACTGAACTATAAAAGTTAAAGAAAAGACACATGTCAAAGGTTAATGACAGAAAAAAACTCAAAAGTCTAGAAATCTAGAAAATCTAGCAATCTAGAAAAATGAAGATGTTTTAGAGTGTGTATAGGCATGTTAAACTTGTTCTTATTTTAGCACCTCAATAATAATCTGGCTAATTTAACAGAAAATAAATTAAATTGACAGAAAACAGCTGTTTGGAGGAGGCTATTGAATGTACTACCGGGGACTTTGGGAGCAAAAAATAATAGAAGGAAAATGTCTATAAGTTAAAGATATATTGATGTAAGAGCTATGATGGGTCTGAGATTATCACCTACTTCAAGCTAAGAAGTTAACCTGCTAAGAAGTTTACTGCTGCTGGCAGAAGACATGAAACTTCTGAATCAGAGAAAAAGGACCTTACTACCCATGGCATAACAAATAGCATGAGCATCAGCATGCTTGCATCAGTCCTCTGGGCCCTCAAGTCCTAATGAGGGCAAGGCAGATAGAGCAAACTGGAGACCTATCTGTATATGTACTGTGCTTCATTTCAAGACAAAAACCATGAGTTTAAGGAACCTGATTTTTTATAATGAGCAGTAAGCATAAAAAAAAGCCCTCTGTTAGAGAAAGACACTATCTCTGTCTTCCAAAGTTATCTGCTATACAATCATTCTTGAAAAGATAGTCCTAAGCAAAGATGTACAAAAATACAAAGTACCCACAACGAACTGTCTCAATAATGAAAAAGAACAAAAATAAGTTTTTACATAGAAAACAAAGTCCTTTAGGAATGTTTACATAGAAAGCAAATCTCTAAAAAATAAATTCAATAAAAATTATAAAACTGAAAAATAATGTATAAAAATTAATTCCATAAATATAAAGTTTATGAATAATGAAACATAAAAGTAATTCGGGACATCAAATTTCAAAGTGGCTACATGACAACTCCTACCTTTAAATTGTTAAGCATACTTTTTCCTAGTTTGTTTTATTTCATTTTCATTGTTGTTGCCATTTGTCTCATCTTAAAATTGTACTATATATCTTAAAACTGCACTAAAACAATATCTAGTAATTAATTCCACTGAATTGAAATTTGAAACTCTATAGTTTTCAGCTATTGGTCTTCACTGTATGCCTTATGCCACATAGAACTCTTTTCTATATTAGAAAACTTTCCATTTTAAAATCAGATGTCTGGTTTTTTCTTCCTAAGTCTCCAATTCTTTATATAAAACATCTTTATTTCTTTTGAATGTTCTTTATGTGACATGGTTTTAACTTGTGTGCCTTCATCATTCTGATAACCCTCTCCTGAACACATTCCAATTTGTCTAAAGTCCTTTTAAACTAGGGTACCTAAATGCAAAAAGAAAACAAAACAAGATTCTCCAAGTAGGTATGGCTAACAAGTTCTCTCATTATAGCTACACAATTCTATAGTCTACTCAAAATATATTTGGAGTATTCTAGATACTGGAACTACCAAAATGAAAGGATTTTCTTACATACTGGGGCTAACAATCTAGGAGGGGACAGAGACATGTAATCAAATACAGTGTGATACATGCAACTACTTAAGATAAACAAAATACGTGATAGCAAAAAAGGGGGAATAGTGGTGTCGGAGTAGGGAGAAAATGTGATCAATAACAGATTTCCAAGCAGGGCGACATATGAACAATGTTTTTGAAGAACGAACAGGAACTTTCCAAGAGTACTGGACATATACTATGCCCCATATCACTAGAAAGATTTTAACAAATGATTGAGTGATGATAATGAGTTAATGGAGGGTGAAAAGGCAGTGAGAAAATTATTAAAGGCTGAAAAGGGGGATTTCCCGTTAACTAGTAATGGGAATACACATTTTTACTTGTCCATATAAATATGGCCACCTGTTAAACACTACGCTGAAAACCATATGAACAACATTTCTATAAATTTCATATTGGAAAGGGAAATTGCATGATTTAGAATCAGTTATCATGTAATATTAAAATCTCAAAATGCCTTTAAAAGATAACACGAAATTAATGAATGCATGCTGACCATTATTTTGACTAACCACTAATTTTACTAACCATTATTATACTTTAAATGTAACTATGACATTCTTTTACTTTTCCATCTTTATTGAGGTATAATTAAAAAATAAAAATTGTATATTTTTATGGTATGCAATGTGATGATTTGACATATGTATATATTGTGAAATGATTACCAAAATCAAGCTAATTAGTATATTCATCATTTTACATAATTCTCAATTTTTTGTGTGTGGTGAGAACATTTAAAATGTGCTCTTTAGCAAATTTCAAGTACAGAGTATTATTAACTATAGTTACCATGCTATACATAAATCTCCAGAACTTATTTATACTGCATAATTGAAACTTTGTACCCTTGACCAACATCTCCCCATTTCCCTCAAACCCCAGCCCCTAGAAACCACAATTCTAATCTCTGCTTGACTTTTCTATATTCCACATGTAAGGTAGATCATGCAGTATTTGTCACTTTGTGTCTGGCTTTGACTTAACATAATGTTCTTCAGGTTCACCCGTGTTATGATAAATGGCAGGATTTCCTTCTTTTTTAAGGCTGAATAGTATTCCTCTGTGTGTGTGTGTCACATCTTCTTTATACATTTATTTGTTGATGGATACATAGGTTGATTCCATATCTCAACTATTATGAATGATGCTGCAATGAACATGGCCCTGCAGGTATCTCTTTGAGATATTGACGTAATTTCCTGTGGATATATAATCAGAAGTCAGATTGTTGGATTACATAATAGTTCTATTTTGATTTTTTTTGCAGAATCTCTATACTGTTTTCCACAGTGGCTGTACCAATTAACATTCCCACCAATGGTGTACAAAGGTTCCTTTTTCTCCACATCCTCACCAACACTCTTTTTAAGAATAGCCATTCTAACAAGTATGAAATGATATCTTGTGGTTTGATTTGTATTTTTCTGGTTATTAGTGATGTTGAGCATTTTCTCATATAGCCGTTGGCCATTTGCCTTGAGAAATGTGTACTCAGATCTATGCCCATTTTTTAATTGGATTTTCTTGCCATTTAGTTTCTTGAGGTCTTTGCGTATTTTGGATTTTAACGCCTTATCAGATACATGATTTGTAAATATTTCCTCCCATTCACTCTGTGAATAGTCTTCTGCACTGTTCAGAAGCTTTTTAGTTTGATGCAATACAATTTGTCTATTTTTTCTTTTATTGCCTGTGCTTTTGAAATCACATCCAAAAAAATATTGTCCAGACCAATGCCAAGAAGCTTTTTCCCTATTTTTTCCTTCGAGTATTTTTAAAGTTTCAACTCTTACCTTTAAGTCTCTAATCCATCGTGAGCTGATTTCTTTATTTAGTGTGAGATAAAAGTCCATTTTCATTCTTCTATACTTGAATATCTAGTTTACCCAACACCATTTATTGGAAAGACTGTCTTTTCTCCATTGTGTGTTCTTGGCAGGAAATGTATAGATTCATTTATGGGGCTCTCTATTCTGTTCTATTGGTCTATATGTCTGTTTTATGCCAGCACCATGCTGTTTTTATTTCTATAGCTTTATAGTATAGTTTGAAGTCAGGTAGTGCCTCCAGGTGTGTTCTCTTTGTTCAAGATTGCTTTGACTATTTGGGGTCTTTTGTGATTCTCTATGAATTTTGGAATTTTTTTTCTATTTCTGTGAAAAATGTCATTGGAATTTTGATAGGGATTGCACTGAATCTATATATCACCCAGGCTAATAATATAGACATTTTCACAATATTAATTCTTCCAATCCATAAGTATAGGACTTGTTGCCACTTATTTGTGTCTTCTTCAATCTCTTTTACCAATGTTTTATAGTTTTCAGTGTCAAACCTTTCAACTCCTTGGTTAAATATATTCCTAAGTATTTTTGTGCTACTGTAAATGAGATTATTTCATTACTTTTTCTGATAGTTCGTCATTACTGTATAAAAACACTACTGATTTTTGAATGTTGATTTTGTGTCCTGAAACCTTACTGACTAGCAACAATTCAAAATTTTGTAAGAATTCATGAAAATATCACATTGTAAAATTTTAATAATTATTGTTTTAATAAAATAAACCATTATCACTTCCTTTTTTCTATTATGCCTACAAATCTGCAGCATCTCTCAAAGATTACCAATAATGATTTTACAGTTCTTTCATGACAATGAGATGAACTTCAGCGACATCTGAAGTTTTTAACTGATTTAAAGCACTAGGGTACCCTCTTTGGCAGCACATATACTAAAAACTGAAACAACACAGAGATTAGCATACTGCACAAGGATGACATGAAAATTTGTAAAGCATTTCATTTTTTTTAAAAAACACTAGTTTTTTAAAAACACTAGTCTTACATTACCATCATAAGTATGTTAGGATTCGATTTCCTATAACTCATGTGTGTTTCACCCTTTCTGGGTTGAAAATTATTTTCTCCGATACCAAGGACAAATCCAATTCAGCAATTCAGTGGCTCTACTATTTTTATATCATTTACCCCATCCTTGTGAAGTTCCAATATCTTCTTAGCAATTCTTTTGCCAAATCAAACATATACAAAGCCATTTTAATATACTTTAGTATTTTTTTTACAATAAATTGTTCTTCTCTTTAAGCTTCCTGGATCATGGTTCCATACCTCTCTCTTGTATTCATTTATTCAATTATTTCCTGAGTGTCTACTATAGGACAGACACTGTACTTGCAATGTTTTATATATGTTATTATTATCCTTTTATTATTTGACAACTATGTTAATCTTCCCGTGTTTGACTTCTATTTACAGTCTAGCTATAGAATATCTATCTAGCCTACCTATAGTTTCACCCTAATTTTAGCAACTTTTACTTGTCCATATGAACATTCTTTTAAATTTTTTCAAATTCTTTAGAAATAAAAAATAATGAACACAAAATATATAAACATACATTAAAATGTCTTTTTAACATCTGAGTTCTAAAAAGTTTAATGTGTAGCAAAACTGCATAGTCAATTTGCCTTCCTGTCAAACCTTTTAGGCAGTTTCACTCTTAGAATATCTAATCTTAGAAACATTTGTTTTCCGCTGATCATTCTGAAATACAAATTTTCTAAGTTCTTGTATATATCTAACAAAGCTCCAATTTCTTCTTTGATAATTCTAAACTTTAAATAACATGATAACTATTTGTGAAATGATTCTTCTCTTCTATTTTACAAATTAGTTCTCCTCTACTTAGTCAAAATTAAGTTCAGAATAGGAGTTCCTCTCATAGCTTCCTCTACCTTCTATGAAGGTAAATTACCAGCAATACAAAAAAATAAGAAGTTCTGCTTTCAATGAACTGAGAAATCCAACTAAAGTCTATTATATTTACCTACAGAGTTATCATGTTTGATTCTCTGAATTATTTTGTATAGAACCAGATTCCATCTGGTAACATTTTCCTCTGCCTGGAGGGCTTCCTTTAATATCTATTATACTACAGGTCTTTGAGGAATGACTATTTCAGTTTTTGTGTACATAAAAAGGTCTTCCTTTTGTTTTGAAAGATCTTTTAGCCTGCTAAGGAATTGTTGACAATCATTTTCTTTCAATACTTTAAAGCTGCACTGATGTCTTCTGATTTGAGTCATTTCCAACAAGAAATATACTGTCATTATTAACGAAACTCCTCTCTTAATGTTATGTATTCTTTTTCTCTGGCTGCTTTTAAGATTATTTTTCTTTTTTACCATTTTAGTCGATTTGATTATAATATATAATGTGCCTTAGCAAAATTTCCTTAATGTCTTTTGTGCCGTAAGTTTGTTAAGCTTCATGGATATGTAAGTTTTTAGTTCTCACCAAAAGTTTGGAAAATTTCAGCCATTATTTCTTAAGATAGTTTTGATTCCCCAAACTCTTTATTTTCCTTCAGGGACTCCAATTACACAGATATTAGGCCAATTCAAATTATCTGGTGGTTTACTGATACTTTATTCATTTCTTTTTGTTTTTTATTTTTCACTGTTTCATTTCAGTTTCTATTACTATCTTCAGGTTCATTAGTCTTTTATTCTGAATTATCTAATCTGATATAAATCACACACAGTGTACTTTTTTTCCCAAATTTTATATTTCAATCTCCAGAACTTCAATTTGTGTCTTTTTATTTCCCCTATTTCTTTACTGAATATGTTCAATCTTTCTTCCACTTCTTGAACATATGGAATTTAGTTATAATAACTGTTTAATGCCCTTGTCCACTAATTCTATCATCTGTGTAATTCCTGGGTTTCTTTCGATTGTTTTTTTTCCCTCATTCTGAGTTGTATTTCCCTGCTTCTTTGTATACTTAATATTTTTTAATTGGATGCCACACTCTGTGAATTTTACCTTATTGGGGGCTGGATATTTTTAATTCCTACGAATATTCTTAAGCTTTGTTCTGGGATGCAGAAATTCAGTAATGCAAAATATATATATATGTGAGATAAAATGATTTAAGAAAAAAGAAATTGCCATTTACAGATGGCATAATTGTGTGCTTGAGGGAATTATTTTAAAAACTAAGAATAAATTAGTAGAATCAATCATTTAATTTAGCAAGAAGTATGGATAAAACAAATCTTTAATAAAGATTTGGTAAAGCAAATTCTTAATAAAGATTACTAGATTTATTTATACCAATAACAGAAAGCTAAACAATGCAAATATTTACAACAGAATTAGAAACATAAAATAGTAAGGAGTAAATCTAATAAAGATGTGTAACACTTCTACCCAAAAACTATAAGCTGCAAAGCATTTAAAGAAGACTTAATTTAAAGAAGACCTAAATTTACTCTCAGAAAATAGTGGAGCAATCTTAAAACGAAGATAAGCATTTAAAGAAGTACATATGAGATCCTCAAAAAGATAAAGAATAAGATCCATTTTTTAAAAAGAAATTGCAAACATAGCTGTGGATCAACATATTTTTTATTCTTATACCATAATTTACTATATAAATAATTTCAATAAAAATAGTATGGCTTATAATAATGAGACATATATATCATACGTAATTTTTAAAAACCCACATAAGGAATATTATTTGGTATTCATATATTACCTGATAATCAGCAGGCCCAGGAGTAGTAAAAGTTTCTTTCTGAACTAAGAAAGTCCGAGGAACAGAAGAGCCGAATGCACTTTTCTTTTGTTCCTTTAAGCAGATATTGCTAAAGTTGTCATTTATAATACTGTTTAGAATATTATAAAACCCAGGACCTAAAATTATGAAGAATATCATATGTAAGAATAAACATGGTTTTAAATCTTTTATAACTAAGTATTTTTTTTAGAAATAACTCTCATTTATTGCTAGCAAGAATGAAAAATAGTATGGCACTTTGAAAAATAATTTGTCAAATTCTTATAAAGTTAAATATATATTTACTACATGACCCAGAAATTCTATTCCCATTTTCCCAAGGAAAAAAACCTACCTAAAAGTCAAACCCTAGTGAATAAACAAAATGTGCCATACCCAAACAATGGAATACTACTCAGCAATAAAAAGGAAAGACAAATGCAACAATATAAATAAACCTCGAAAACATCATGCTAAGTGAATGAAGGCAGACATAAAATCCTGAGTAATGTATAATTCCATTTATATGAAATTTCAGAAAATGTAAAATCATAGTGACAAAATCAGTTGCCTGAGACCAGGAGTGGGGATGGAGATTAACTGCAAATGGGCATGAGAGAATTTTTTAAGAATGATGGAAATGTTTCAAAACTTTATTGTAGTGGTAGTTACCAAACTATATACTTTTACCAAAACTCATCAAAATGTACACTTAAAATGAATTATTTTTATTGTGTAAATTATGCTTCAATTAAAAAAGAAAGACAGAAAGACGGAAGGAAGGAAGGAAGGAAGGAAGGAAGGAAGGAAGGAAGGAAGGAAGGAAGGAGTGTGAGAAAGAAAGAGAAGGGAGGAAGGAAGGAAGGAAGGAAGGAGGAAGGGAGGAAGAAGGGAGGAAGAGAGGGAGGGAGAGAAGGAGGGGGAAGGAGGGAAGGAAGAAAGAAGGGAATTATTGATACAAAAAAGATATTGAAAAGCTGATGTAGCAACATTAAAAATTGATTTGGAAAAAACAAAATCAACTATCACCCCATCTTCCTATCACAGCAGTTATTTTCATTTTTGCCTTTTACCTTTTCGTGCATATTTATAACCAGGAATATTTCCTACAGTAGCAACCTGAATGAATAATATTTTTTCATTCAAAATAAAATAAACAACTTTTTATGCCATTGAAAAAAAGTTTTTATCAATACATTCAAATATTTGAAACAAATACAGTTAACTCTTGAACAATGCAGAGATTAAGGGCACTGACCCTCACACAGTTGAAACTCTGTATATAACTTAAGTCAGCCTTCCGCGTACGTGGATTCCCAAACATGGATCAAAAACACATAATTGTATATGTTTTATAATTCAGTATTTTTTAAAAAATCAGTTATAGTGAGCAGCAATATCCATAAAATGCAGTATGATATACTTAAAAAAAATACTTGACTTGGTTATACTCATGTTATCTGGAATCTACAAAATTAGCTCTGCTGCTAAATAGGTATGAAACATCACTTAAATCTCTTTCGTTTTTCTGGGCTTCAAGTTCCTCTTCTGACTATAATAAGAACTGATTAGATCAGTGCTACTCAAAATGTGGTCTGTGGACTGCTGGCTGTCCAAGAACAATTTACAAGAAAAGGAGCTTACGACTAAATATAAATTGCTTATTTTACTTAGCATTTTGTAACTATTCTTTTTTCCTAAAAAAAGATTGTTGATTTACATTCTGGTATCATTTCCTTTCTCATTATAGGCAGGAAATAGTTGACAAGTGGGCACTTTGAGTAGCTCAAGGTTAGACGATATTTTAGGTTCTTTCTGGATTAAAAGTGACCAAATCATTCTACATAGTCAAATCCTCTGTACTCTTGGTATATATAAGGTTTTCCTCAAGGAAGCTGCCCATGAACACTATTTAAATATTTTTAATTATTCCAGTTCTAAATTTTATTCCCCTAAAGTCTCTACCAAAAATTATGTTGTTCTAACTCTCAGAAAATCTAAATCTAATAAGTTTTATTCCTGTCATCTTTCAACATTCCTCCATAGGTAATGTTTAGGAAAAAAGTAAATGGAAAGTGTAATGAAAACTATTTTCAATACTTAAGAGATAAATACTTCAGATCTGTCTCTCTTCTGGCATGACAGAATAACATAATACATTACAAGTGAGCTTAAGTACTTAAATATAGGGCCTTCAAGGCATGTACATCTCGGGTACCACCTTAGTAAGCTTCTGATTCGAAAAGCCATTCTAATCATATAATTTACTCACATTAGAGATTTTTCATATTCATTTCCAGCGATTAAGTGTAGAAATGCCCAGGAACCCCATAGTTAGGCAATTTAGGGGTGCCTTCTATCTTACTCTGATTGATAAGTCCATTACTGCATTCTAATATCTTCATGGGAAATAAAAAACCAGAATTCCATGAAGGCCATTCTCACTAATTCTTAAAATATTTAAGATTCAGAATTAGATTTTAGAGGTCATCATAATTTAATTTTATCCTTTACAAATAAACTAACCTTTGGAGAATTTACAATACTTTGTCATACAATAGACCATTAAATTGAAAACTAGACCCAATCATAAGGCAATTGGGTCACTTGATAAATTCATATTTGGAAATAATTTGGATTTCAGATTCGTAAGAAATCTACTGAGCTATGCTCAACTGGAATGGTGCCAAGTATTTATACATGACCTCTCCAGAAGGACACTCTTAGAATAGTCAGACTTCTACACAGAGGCACAGATCTCCAAGACTGTGTATTTCAACAGGTCCAGGTTTATGCTGTAAAAGTTCATGACCTAAGAAGTGCTAGAATATCACTTTTGCTACATGCTGTTGGTCAAGAAAGCCACCAGGCTAGCCAAGATTGAACAGGTAAAAAATAAGACTCAATCTCTCAATAGCATAATTTTGTAATAAATAATTTTGTACCAAGAATACAATATTACCATAACAAATTACCATACTAACATTTGTAGAAATGGTTTGAGATCAGACAATGGGTCAGAAGCTAAAACAACCTCAAGACTTAGAAAAAGAGTCTTGAGGAAACAGTTAGTGGTGGCTTAAGGGACAGTGATAAAAATGGCATTGAAGTTCAGAGAAAAGATAATTTGTATTATCTTTTAACAAAAATTTTAACAAAACTAATGCTTGGGACAATGAAGAAAATACCTAATACATTAGTAGATTCTAGTTAAGAACATTTCTAGGCTGAATATCAAAAGCGCCAACTAGTTGCTTTTAGCTATGTGTGCAAAGGTAAGGATAGAAAGAGATGAACTAAAACTATTGTTTTCTAACAGAACTTATACGAATAAAAAGAAATCAAGATTTTTAGGGTTTGAAAGTAAACCATTTTCATCCCAGTCTCTCCATATAGCAAAAAGCTCTCAGAGCAAGAAACACCCTGAGGGTAAGACAAAATCCACACTCTGGCTTTCAGATCCTTTGCTAAGACCTCAGAAAGACTTAAGATGGTAACTCATAGAATCTCTCAAAGAAAAGAACCACTAAGAATTTTAAAGTCATATGTCAAATACCCTCTTGGCTAAGACAATAGTGCTCCTAAAATTTAACAGCAGCAACAAAGGTGGCTCAAAGTAGACAAGGGTTTTACTAAAAAGTACATGTGAATGTGGCTTTTTTCCAGTATACTTGATCATAGATTAAGATAATAAGAAACCTACGAACTTTTTGTAAGGAATTATACCAAGCTGGAATGAAAAGAACAACAACAGTACAAAATAAAGAGTGGCATATAGACTCCAAATTTTCTATGTGCAGGAAGCAGGCTGGGAAAGCTCCAGCTGCAAACATAGCCTATTTCTTATACAAAAAAAAAAAAGAAGGACGATTTGAAGAATGAAACCAAGAGGCCCAGAGATAGAACAAAAGACCACAGAAAATCAGTCCCAGGTAGCCCAATAGGGTCTTAATTAAGAAAATGACAACATATGCCTGGTTGGATTTCAGAATTGCTATAGCCCTGTGACTACTATGGGTCTCCAGTTTTCCCTCTTTTTTGAATAGAAGTGTCTAGTATGATTATCCCATCACTGTCCCACCATTGTGTGTTAGATATGTGGAGCAGATAACTTGTATCTTTAGTTCACAGCTCTTCTAATAGAGAGGAGTCACTCAAGAAGCTGATCTGAAGTACCACTCGCCAGAATCCTCCCCTGCACCTATTCCTGACAGATAACAAGATCCTAGACTTCAAGATTATACCATAATTGCATGAGACTTTGGAAGCCTTGAGAAGACATGCAGGAAAACTATAAGTATTTTCTGGCCAGAGGGTAGTCCACAGTAGATTAAAGATGGCCACAAAATTTTTGCTAACCCTGACACTGAGAGATGAATTTTCATGTCCTTCTGTTCAATATGTGCTGCCCTGGGTGAGCTGATTGACTAATAAAATGTGGCAAAAGTGATGTCCTGGGATTTCTGAGGACAGGTCATAAAAATCTTTGTAGCATCCTGCCAGGTCTCGCGGTACCCTGAGCTACTATGTTTGAAGACCAGCTATCATGAGGCAGCAATGCTGGAGCTATGCATGCACTCTGAATGACAGTACCATCTGAGCTCTGCCTTCCATCTATTTCATAAAATACTGATATGTAATAGAAAAGTTTGTATTTTTAAAGCCACTTTGTTACACAGCAATAGATAACCACATGTTCACAATTATATGGTATTTTGGTGCTACATTCTTAGCTCTGTATAACAGAACACCAACTGAGAATACTAAAATATGTGATGGGCTTCCCCAAATAAATTTTTAACAAAACTGAGTATCATAAGTTAAATTATTAGCAGTGACCATATAGTTGACATATTATATATGTTCATCCAAGAGAAAATTAGGAAATTCACTGAATAAAGAAAAATGGAAAATTATAACTAAGATGTGTAACATATTAAATTGAAATCTTACCAAAATTGCATATTATTTTTATCTATGTCTATTGTACATAGTCAATGCTTTTAAAAAACTATTCCCTCAAAATGACAACACCAACCATAGGACAATAACAACAAAAAGACTGTAACTTCTGGTATATCCATCTTAAGAACACTAAGTTACATAAAGCTACAAAGTAGTAAAATGGATTAATTCTTAACCTGGCATTTCCTCTGTCCTGGAGACCTGTGTGAACCTAGCAGCACTCTGACCAAATGGGATACTTTTCAATGTTGGTGTTTTCTTCAAGGACTGGAAAGCAGTTCGAGATTCATTATACGTGCCAGGAGCTGGAGTGCTTGATTTCATAGGTGCAAATCTCTAGTGAAGAACAGAAAAATATGCCAATGAGAAACTATCAGTACATTTTTACATTGCATGAGTTAAAAAATGCTTTCTTAATAATATAACATCTGGAGTTTAATTTATTTCTTAACGAAGTGAAGAAAATGTAGATGAATTAAGATCTTGCACTTATCAAAACATAAAATATATAGCTTTTAGTAAAATAATCTATGTATTACTACAGCAATATATTACATACTTTACTAACACAAATAGACTTTGAAATTATCTCAATATGAGATTCTAGATGATAGTGTATGGCCCAGATTCATCTATTGTTAATATATTAAGCCACTTGCCTATTGGTTTACCCACTCTCTGTTTTGGCCTTTTTCTCTCTGTTTGTATATTGTTCCTCTTTCTGTCTCTGTCTATATACACACATTTAAAGGAAAGTTACATACGTCATGACCCTTTACCCCTAAATACCTAAATACTTTGGTGTGCATTTACTAAAAACAAGAATATTTTCTACATATCTGAAGTACAGTTATCAACATCAGTAAATGTATCGATAATATGTTTAACTAACCAACCGTTCATATTCCAAATCTGTCAATCTAATAATGCCTCTATTGTATTTTTCCCCTCCAGTACCAAATCTAGTCTAAAGTCAGATATTGCTTTTCATCTCCTTTAATACAGAAACATTTTAACAGCCTTCCTTTGTGTTTTGTGACTTTAGTAGAATATAACAATCTTTTTTTTTGTATAATAGAACCTTCCTTATTTGGGGTTTCTCTTATGTTACCTTATAATTATATTCGGGTCATTCATTTCCAGACAGAATACTAAATAGATGATGTCATGCTTTTCTCAGAGTATCATATCTGGAAGCACATAATGTTCTCTGGACCTCAATGATTTTAATTTTGGTCAAATTCAATACTCTGTCTACATTTATCAGTATACATTTGGCATTCTGAAAACATTCCCTTCTCCTTCTATTCATTTATTTATCTATCTACCTATTTATTGCCCATATGGTCTCATGAATGTCAGTTTTAATTACTTATGATTACTTTTTTTTTCCAGTAGGGGGCCTTTCATGTTGGTTCATATATCCCTATGATACGCCCTCATCTTTTTTTTTGAGACCTTTTAAACTTTCTGACGTAACAAGATGTTACAGATTCATCTTCCACCTACTCTGCACAGTCCTTGTTTCTTGGCTCATTTAGTAGAGAAAGGTAGAATACATATTTATATATCTATATCAATATTTATATGTACACTAGACACATGTACATATATATACATACATACACGTCTGTATGTGTGTGTGTGTGTATATATATATATATATGTTTTTTTTTAATCATGAGTTCACACCAAAACCTTCAATTCAAATCTGTTCCGTAAAGTTCTTATCTCTCCTAATCCATGTTTGTAGGTACCTTCTTCCACAGTGAAAACCCTGGTTCATAATATCAACTTTTTACCTCAACCCTATAATACATCTAAAACAGTTTCATGATTGCTTCACCTATACCACTACAATAAACCTACCTACTAAAAAAAATTCAGCATTTGTTTGCAATTTTTGTACTCATTATAACCCACTCCATCCTAGACTGATAGAGTCAAATATTATGGTTACCTGGATTATTCTTTCTTTCTTTTCCCCTTCATTGTGGTTAAGAGCATACATCTGGAATATACTCATTCATTTGTTTCCATTTGCTTTGTTTTGGGTTTTTTTTTTTTTAACTTTCCATTCTTATTGATTTTTATTTTTGAATATGTGGAACACTGACATGCTTCCATAAGATGAATACATATTTTTAAAAGTATACTCCAAGAAGTGTTGCTCCCTCTCATTTCCCTTGCACCCTCAATGGATGCTGTGCCACTAGGGGAAAAATGTCCAAACTTATAACATTTGCTAATGTTCATGATATAAATACAGCACAATGGTGGCTAACTTCAAACTACCAACATAACATCAACCAACACGCAAAATGGAAAAATTAATAATGGGCTCCTGTAAGTCAGTAAAAATGATCTGCAGTATACCAGGGTTTCCACTGCATCTCCTCACCATCCCTTATAGGTAACCAATTCCACTGTTTTCTGGTTTATCCTTGATATGTTTATATAAAGATAAGCAATTATGTTTATGTTTCTTATTTTCCTTTCTTTCTTACACAAAACAGTATATTATACATGCCCTTTTGTATCTTACACAGTAGTTAAACCTTAACACTACCAAAAAACAATTTATTAATGGAACTAGCATGAAGGACTCTCTAAATTTTTCTCCTAAATACTATTTTATTATTTACTTGCTGAGTATATTTTTAAAATTATAATACTCAACCCTGGCTGCATATGCATACAGAATTACTTAAGAAGTTCAAAAAATGCTGATGCTTGGGCCTTTCTAGGAGGAAGGGAAGAAGTCACCTGGGTATCAGAAGGTATTAAAATTTCCCAGTGTTTCTAATACATAGCAAGAGGAAGAGCATTGTGATAAAATCTTATGTTTAAAAATTAATAGTTGAAGACATAAGGAAATTTAATGCATTTAAATACCAGACGATTCCTTAAATTAATAACTAAAATAAGTATTCCAGAAACATAATCTTTCTTTATAACTATAAACCAAAAACTGTGAGTTAAGTTTACCTTGTTAATTTCATTATTGCTTTTCTTAATCAGTTATAAGTATCTGCTCATATTCAACTGAACACTAATACTACCCCTAGCAGGCACTCATGTTGATTTTAACTCTTCCATTTCTTTCATCCCAGAATAATTATTCTTCTCTGTCATCCCCTTAAACCAAATTGATATCATATTCTATTCCATTTCTGCAAATATATTTAAAATATTATAATTGATGCCTAGTGATATTAAATTAGAACTACATATCAAATGAACAGAAATAGCATAAAAACTGGAAGTTTTAGCTATAAAATTATATTTTTTAAAAATCAGGGGGATGCACATGCACAACGTCCCACTTCCACACATTCATTTTGTTTAGTACCTTAAGTATCATCAAGTTGCCCAAGGCAGAAACCTGGTATTCATTCTTGATTCTTCCTAAGTCCTTCACATTAAAAAGTCATGTTAATTATATCTCCAAAATATACCGGCAATCTATCTACTTGTCTCCAAGGAGGTGCCTCTTAAGTACAAGAAAACCAGAGTAGTCACCTGCAGTCATCTAAAGGTTAATAACTTTTTCAAGTTAAATAACATAACCAGAGCTGTACATAGTATTATTGTATAAATATTGCAACGACTTTGATCTGGAGGCTGGTACATTATAAAGTTTTGCTAGTCTAATAATATTCTTAACTTAGAAATATCTTAGAATCCTTCAAATCTCTTTATCATAGACCTTAAAATGATTACTGTGAAACAGACTCTAGAATTACTAAGCCCCAATGGCAGTTGTAGATATGACCTATGGCCTGGCTCCACAAAGAGCCTTCGGAATCTTCTCTGAAAGAAATGCTCATCTTCATAGACTACACGTTAACCTTCTATACATTCATTAGCAAAGTATATTTAAAAATGCAGACTAAAATTTCTTATAAGCTAAACTGAACTTTCACATTTGCAAATAGAAAATGTTTAATATTCTGCATAATAAAAAATGTTTAATTTCTGCATAATAAAAAATGTTTCAATTCTAATATTTATTTTTGCATAATGGTGTTAATATTGTAATCTTATTTCATTTTCCCCACATTTTTTGGCAATATAATTTGCCCAGGCCATATCTGTTTCCAATTTGCTTAAATATCACTTTCCTTTTTATAATCTCCCTGAACATCATTAAATTTGTTGCTGGATTCACATTAGACCTATTATACTCTATTTATGAAAATGACTATAGATCATTACCTGGGATTGAGAAAGAAAAGCAGGTGATGCATCATTTACATTTGGTGTCACACTTTCGGTCTTCTGAAATTGACTTTTAATGTCATATTTTCCAGGCCCCGGTATTCCCTAAATCATTACAGAAAGAAAAAAATACATGTTCTCATTAAGAAAGCATTTATAGCACTTAAGGGAACAATTGGCTAAATATCTGAACCAAAGCTACAGGGTTTTTAAGTGAATTCCTATATGATATTACCAAAGCACTTCATTAAAAAGCAAACCAGAAGAAACTTCTTAAAAGCAACCAAAAAACAAAAAACAAAAAAACAAAAAACAAAAAAAAAAAAAGGAAATTTTCCTTATCAGAGCTTTCCCAGGAACCTGAAAACACACTACTTGAAACTTTGCTGCCCTCTACTGACAGAGCTCAGAAAAAAATTATCTGACTCCACGTGATTAAACATTACAGTGAATAAAAGAGGCTTCTATATTTCTTCCATTTAAAATTATATGACCAGCTCTTCTCTAAGAAAAAATTTTACTGTCTTTCAAATTTGCATTGATCTGTTTCCAAAAATAAACTTCAGAATGAAACTAGACTGTTGTCTGTCACCACACACAAAATTTACTCAAAATGGATTAAAGACCTGAATATAAAACCTGAAACAATAAAATGCATAGAAGAAAACATAGGAATGAAACTCAGGGACCTTGGACTTAAAGAGGATTTTATGAATTTGACCTCGAAAGCAAGAGAAGTAAAAGCAAAAATAAAAGAATGGGACTACATCAAACCAAAAAGCTTCTGCTCAGCAAAAGAAACCTTCAACAAGGTAAAGAGACAACCATCTGAATGTATTTATATTTGCAAGTAATTATATTTGCAAGATATTAGGCCCTTATCAGAGAACTCATATGACTCAGTAACAACAAAAAAACAAATGACCAATCAAACAATAGGCAGAGGACCTAAACAGACACTTCTCCCTAGAGAACATATACAAATATATGAAAAGATGTTCAACAGTAGCTAGCTATTAGGGAAATGCAAATCAAAACCACAATGATTGCACCATTTGCCTTCTCAAACCCATCCAATTGTTTCCAATTTCACTTCAAGCAAAATTCAAGGTCCTTAATATGATATGAATTTCATGCCCAGACACTAAAATCACTTTAACCTCATCTTCCACTACTCTCTCCATTCCATTCGCTCTGTTTTCAAGAAGATCTGTCACGTATCCACCTCAGGATCTTTCCACTTGCCATTTTCTTAGCTTGGAATGTTCTCCTAGATAGCACAAAGGGCTCACTCTTTCATTTCAATCAAGTCACTTACTCAATGTCCCCTTCTCAATGTGTCATTTCCAGTCCATCCAAATCTCAAATTTCATTGCCTTCCCCAAACAACTGTCCCCTTTCCTACCTCTTTTTTAACCTAACCATTTTTTTACTATCCAAAATATGATTTTCTTTCATGTTCTAAGCCCTTAAGGCCATTATTTTTTTCTATTTTGTTCACTGCTATATCTTTAGGGCATAAAAAAGTACCTGGATCATAGTAAGCACTCAGTAAATATTTTCCAGAAGAATGGATGAATAGACAAATGCATGCATTGAATTCTATATTTTCACTGATCATATAATGAATTTGGAGATATGTTCCTCTGGGAAACAATGTAGCTCCAAATATGAGCATTAGCCATTTCTTAAAGCCCACATGTTAAATAATAATTTTTAAAAAGTTCTTTAGTAGAAAGTCTAATACAGAAGTATCTCTTCTTATAAATACATTAGATTCTAAAAATTTATGCAAAGGACCATGTTATCTGGTTTCAAAGGAACAAATCCACGCCATTATTTGATGGCTGATAGAAAAGATGCACTTCGGCTATGGCGTGTAAGATTATTTTCATCTATGAATTCGTAGTAACTTTTGAAGAAAAAGAACTGCATAATTTCATGTTTATATAAACCTATGAAATATGTTTCAAATATATAAATACGGAGAACAGAATTTCAAACACACAACGTTAATCTGTTTTCTTGAATGTTACAAATATGCTACATCCATCTTCTCTTTACGTAGGCAGGCATGGTAAAAAATAATCAGTTACTGACATACTGGGTTTACTTTCTTCCTATTTTCAACAGTTGCATAAGTGGTCATTACTAAGAGATTATAGGAGAAGAATTAAGTGTGAATAGAGATAAATGAATATACCTAGTCTCAAGAAACTTCTTCACATAAAAGTAGAAATATTAACCCTTTTAATGAATACTTCCTTTTCCTTTTCTTCTATTTTTTCATAAAGTTTCTAATGTTATTGAACTTTGCTTCACTAAAACAAGATAGAGTGATAAAATTAGGCCCTTGATTCTAAAAATTATGCTTACGATTTAATAAGCAAATTTAAAATAAGTTCCAAAATAGGATTGTGAGACATTGTCCACTGAAGGACAGATCTCCATTTACAACAATATAAAGAAGGCGAAAAAGACTTTGAGAAGACCAAACCCTAGGCACAGGCTGAAAATGTCGTGATGCTTACTCTGCTTTTTCAAATTGTGATCAACAGACCACCTGCATTAATATCGACCTATTAAATACATAGTGTCCCAGTGTCTCATTTGAGATCTAGTGAATCAAATCTTGTTGGGTCTAGGAATCCACATTTTTAAGAAGCCTCACAATAATTCTCATGCACCATGGAGAACTCAGCCTGACAGGGGTCACTACTACAGCTTCTCTGACTAGCCACACCCATCCTAAGCCCATCCTAAGGAAGAAGGCCCAGATCTAGAGAGAATTCTGCCTTGGAAACAGGCTAAAGATTATTGGAACAGGTTGTTTATGACATCTTTTCATGCACAGCCTAATAAAAATGGGCTTCTTTCTTTAAAAACTGGGGTACAATTATAATATCATTTGATTAGATGGTATTTAGAGGAAGGAATTTGATCATCAGCAGAGATTAGGGGGACTGGAGAAAGTGATACAGTTTCACCTTCACTCCTTTTATTTGCAGTCACCATCACTTGCAGTGATGATTATTACTTTCATTAAAAATACTAACAGCTTACTATGTGCAAAGCACTGGTATAGGGTAATCAAAGCATGGGCTCTGCTTTTGAGAAGCTCACACTAGATTAATGGTTCTCAAATTAAGCTGCACAAGAGAATCATCTGGGGAATCTTTTAAAATAACAGTGCCTCATTCCACCTCATTCAAATTAAAGCCTATGGAAATGAGGTTCAGGCATTATCAATTTTTTTTAATTTAAAGCTTCCTGGCTGCTTCTAATGTATAATCGGTATTGAGGCCTAAATCACAGTGCTCAGCTTTCAGGTGCGATAACTTTCCATTGTTTCTAAAACTGCCACTGCTGCCTAGAGTTAGGGTGTGACTTAAAACCTATTGGACGTTTTATGCTGTGATGGAGTCACATGACTCAACTTTGTATTAGCAGGCCCCCAAATGATAGTCTTTTCTCAAGTCTGGTTGACAATTTAGGTTAGTGGGAAAGGTGCCTGGAATTCTCTCCTCATTCTGTATATAAACTTTCATTTAAACTCTCCATTTACTTTTAATGAAAAAATTAAACACACACACACACAAAAGAATAGTATAAGAAATTCACATACACCCATCACCTAGAAACAATAATCCTCAACTCATATTCACATTTGTTTCCTAATTCAACCAATTTTCCCAATTACCACTCCAAAGATGTATGAGGCAAGTCCAAAATCTCATATAATTTCATCAGAATGTACCTCTAAAAAATAAGGAACATGCCACAGAACATTTTTCTATCTTAAAAAAATCAATAATGATTTGATTCCTTAATTATTGAGTTCAAATTTTTATGACTATCTCATAAATTTGTGTATATTATGATGTGTATAGAAATATATAATTATATATTTGTGTTTTAATCTGAACCCAATTAAAAGTTCAGACTTATACATGGTTAATATGTTTTTAAGTCTCTTGTAGCTATAGGTTTCTTCTCCATCACTTTTTTTCCTTTCAATTTATTTGATGAAGAAGCTAAGTTTTTTGTCCAATTTTTTGAGTTTCCCACAGTTTTTCTTTTCTCGATTAAATATCTATGTGTTTCCTATCCCTCATACTTCCTATAAACTGGCAGTTTAATATAAAGGCTTGATCAGATTCTAATTCAATTTTCTTTTTTGGCAAGATTACTTCATAGGTGGTGCTATGTAGTTTGACCAGGATGCACATATAATAACTGATTCTCTCTCATTCTGCAATGGTAGCCACCACAGACGATTACTGACTAGATCTAGTAATTTGTTATGGTTTCCAAATGA